CCCCTAGTACCACCCCGGGTCCACATTTGACCACACTTTAATGAATTTCACTGTAAAATAACAGTAAAATACTGGCAGCCCTGCTGCCAGTATTTTACTGTTATTTTACAGTCCATCTACTGTAATTTATTTCAACAGTATATTACCGTATTTTGGATTACAGTATATGACCGTAGGGTAACGGTGGGTGTTGTGGTTAATTTACAGTGCATCTACCATAATTTATCTAACAGTATAATACCATTTTTTGGATTACAGTACATGATGGTAGGATAACTGGGTTATGGTAATTTTACAGTGCATCTACCGTAATTTAATTAACAGTATATTACCGTATTTTGGATTACAGTACATGACAGTAGGATAACTGTGGGTTATGGTAATTTTACAGTATATGCCAGTGTGTTCTAAAATCTGCTATTTTTGCATTTAATTTGTAAAAATCCTCACCAATTAAAAAAAGTATGAAGGGCTTCTCAAATTCCCAGCTACCTCATATTCATGGTCAGTCAACATCCAAAAGTCTTACAATAAACACACAGCTTGACTTTTCTAGTATTTTACTAAGGTCTTGCCTTCTAGTGCTTATACCTTGAGTGGATCAGAAACACATTAAGCAACAACACATATTCACCACTGTTCACCTGTCTGTGCTCAACTGAAGAAAAGTAGCAGGTTAAGCTAGCGGAGGACATGGAGGACTAGAGTAGCACAGAGTGGACAGTACAACGAGCGCTCACTCTAACCCTGTTTTCAAGAACCAAGAACCACAACTGACAGAGCAGAGCACTCACTCTAACACCGTTTCCCAGAAACGACAGCACAGAGCTCTCACGTTTAACTTATTTAACTTAATAACTTAACTTTAAAGCACAGTAACATTTTCTATTTTCAAATAAATTTTCTACCAGACTGTCTGAGCCTGAATAAAAATCAGGTGCAGACCTTTAAGTAATAAGTTTGAGAACCCTTGGTATAGAACACAAGAGAATATACATTCCATAACATTGCTGTAATTTATTACAAAGTTCTCNGCACAGAGTGGACAGTACAACGAGCACTCACTCTGACCCTGTTTTCAAGAACCAAGAACCACAACTGACAGAGTAGAGCACTCACTCTAACACACGCTAAATTAAAATACCATCAAGAACAGTGTAACACTGAATCAAAATACCATCAAGAACAGTGTAACACTGCATTAAAATACCATCTAGAACAGTGTAACAGAACAGACCAGCTTGAAAACAAGTCTTTTGCATGTGAACAATAAAAGTGAATGTGGAGAAAGAGAAGAGGGGGAGAAAGAAAGAGCGAACAGTGAGAGTACTTGACTGCACCATTTGGCTGGTATCCTCAGTCACCGATGACGAGAGCCTGTAAAACAAAACAAAAAACAAAAAAATGAGCAACACAATGTCTCTGGTAAAATATAAAAATATGAAAGACTAATGGAGGGAGAGAAAGAAACATAAGAATGAGGGGAGAGAAATGGGCCAGAGCAATAAACTGTTCAAGGGAGAAAGAAAATGGTTAAAGACAGGACAACAAGTGCAAAGAAGAGAGAACAGCAAGCGACAGAAAGGAGAGAGGGTGGTTAGTTGGTTGTTATAGTTTAGGGAGGGAGGTTATCTCATAAGTGGGCTCATAAGTCAGTAGAGTAGCATGTTGTTGGAATGTTAAGAAGGGCTAGTGGGAGGAATGGAGTCAAGCAGAAACTAGAAACGTCTAAATTTTCAGAAGACAAATTGTGTGCTTGCTTGCTTTGAAAAGTAGATAGTTTTAAGCATTTTAAGCAGTACTTGATGTAGTTGAACCATTAGTTGAACAAGCTGATGCAGTACTTCATGTATTTTAAAAAGTTTAAAGAGCAGGCAAAACAATGCGCTCATTTGAAATCTGGCAAGACCTCATGCATGCATGTAGTCAGAGCGGTTCAGACGCTACAGTCAATTTAATTTGGGTATGCCAATTTAGGCGTTTTTGCTACAAAATGGGGGTGGAGTGCAAGAGGTTAATAGACTGGCCTGTATTTGTAAGTTAAATGAATAAATGATAAGATAATGACACATAAACTTTGCAATAAAACAAACTTTATGAAGGTCAGCAACACCTATGGCTAACTGAGCTCAAGCTAGCAACAGAGCTTGCTTCGCTTAGCCCTATTTAGCAACCTGAATCAATGTAACAGACCTAATGAAACATCTGAAATGTCAACAGTTCAATAATCATGCAGACAAAACAACAATGAACACTACCAATTTCGGGAGATAAGCATAACTTTACTTTACCTGCTCTGTTGAACTCTGCATGGACTTCTCCGGCTGGAATGATGACGAAGCTGTGCTCTCCAAAGTCAAGTTCAGGAATAGCTAATTAGGTTAGCCTACATCTTGTCACTCAAAAATGAGTAGTTTGAGGAGTTTGATCAATAAAGAAGTGCTATCATCAAAATAGAAACATAAGACCGCAATAATCAGTAAGATGCTGATGGATAGTGACTGGACTTGAGAAGGGATGTTAGCACATGTCTCCACTGCTTGACAGAAAGTACTGTATTATGCTGTGAAATTACAGTTTCTTATTGTTAACTGAGCATTAACTGTTAATTTACATGTAAGCATGAATATTTAACAGTAGTTTACAATTATTATAAAATACTGTTGTAATCCACCCTAAATTTACAGTAATTCATTACAAATATTAATTGTTATTATTGTTAATTGACCGATTCAACTGTTAATTTACATGTGAGGGATGAATATTTAACAGTATTTTACAATTATTATAAAATACAGTAGGATACTGTTGTAAATCCACCGTAAATACACAGCAATTCATTACAGTGCAGTTGTTCGGCTGCCTTTAACACAAATTACAATCCAATCTCTAATCAGGCTGTCTCTCACAATTTAGGCAACGTTGAGGTATAAGTTTTGCAATGCAACACTCTGTAAAGCCAGCAGCCGCTCATGTGCACATAAGTTATTGGCTGCGACCGATCCCCATCACACACAGATCCTTTGTTTTGAGAGAGCCAAAAAGCCCAACTGCGTCTCAGCACACAGTGAAAACACGCTTTTAATTGATGAGAATCAATGTCTCCTACCTTTAGATTTGCCGGCTCGTAGCTTTCATCTGCGTTCGGAGACGGATGGGCCCCAGGCCCCCTTCAAAACCTGGACTGGCTCACCACTTATATTGAAAAAAGACTTGTATGACTTGGATCGATTCACAGCCTTCTGCGGGTATTTTATTGAAGACACAACTTCACATACCAAACATTCTTATACTCCTCCTCAGATAACCGTTATACCTAACTTTCCATGTGTGTGTATTTGTGGGTGTGATTTCCTGTTTGTTCCAGCACTTACATTGTTTTATCTCTATTCCTGGCTCGTTCTGCCCAAACATCACACACTGCTTGCTTTAGATCACTCTGCTCTTGTCACATTGCCTTGCCCAAGATTGTTCAATCTAAGTAAACATGTTTTGCTTCTATCTTTGAATGGCTGGCCTCTACCCTACCACATCTTTAAGCTGAAGTCAGATGGCATTTTGCTGAGCGACATTTTTCAGAGGAGATCGTCACATGTTATGACTGAATGTATCACAGGGCAGAGGCGCAGATGTATGTAAACCTTCTGCATATAACGACAAAAAGAAATAAGAAAACAAATAATTCATATCATTTTATAACTGAATCTGACTTTGAGATATTGTGGTGACAAAATGTGCTGTTTGGAAGCACACACACGTGTCACCTCGACCTGGTCAGATACAATACCATATTCTGATATTGTGTAATTCAGGCAGAGGCTAAAATGGAATATATAAATCACTGGCGGCAAAATAACAGCAATTTGGCCCTCTAATCTTCCAGGCACTCAAATCGATGTATTTTCACTGCAGGTGTTGCACTGATTTCCCAAGCTGCCTCTCAACGCACAGTGTCATCATTTCTGTAAGGCATTTTACTCCAAATTGAAATGATCTGAAATTTGAAAAAACAGTAATAGCTGCTGACGCACAGTCGCAAAAAAAATCTTTATCCTAAAATATTGAATGATAACTCAAGATCATTGTTTTTCTTTGCATAGTACATACATATACAATGTTTGAGTACTTTATGGCACTACTATGACTCTGCATGTTTCCAGAGATGTTGTTCACATGCATGTTTGATACTGTGTAACTGAGGATCTCTGCGGCATTCACATCATAGTTGTGGTTTTAAACAAAACTCCCATAATCCCCTTCTTGCATGCATGTTAAATTTCACTACATCAAACAGTGCAAGAGGTAAAGTTATATAGAGGCCGCAGTGACAGAGTTTTTCTTTGTGAGGCAGAAGAACACAGAAAGAATGGAAGCTATGAATTAGGTGTATCTGTGACAGCCACAAACACATGATGGGACTGATCATCACCTGCATCACTTCCGTCACTCTCTCTGCTGCTCAGCTCCTCTGACTTTCATTCTTTCTCTCTCATTTTCTCTGTCACACTCAGTCCCTCTGCTTCTGTCTCTCCTTTTATTTTACTTATATTCCCTCAGTGCTGGCAAAGCTACACCGTGTGACGACAGGCGCTCACGGCACCCTGTGTGAGCTCCAAGCCCTGCTCTCCCTCCCTCGAGCGCCCTACTGCAGTTTCCAAGAAGCAGCAGAGAGATCCATGTCTAAACAGTGGAAAGAATAAAAGTCACTTAATGCAACCTCATTACGTAAATGCTCTCCGCTCTTATGAGCTCTGACCACAACTGAAAACGACACGAGCAAACGACGGTCAATAGCGTGCCGTGGAATCGTGCTTACGTCTACCATCAGACTGCGTTCACAGTCCGCTGGAGCACAAGTGGAAGGCAACTGAAATGTGAGACAATAAAGAAGATGAAATGGTGCTCCTGCTGGAAAAGATTACTTTTTAGGAGGTGGGGATCATCTGTGTCTGTTTCCAACAAGAGACACTCGACAAAAAAGGTGTACTCCAGCAGCTCACCTATGACACAGAAAGGCTTCCTGGCGAAGCGGAGTCGTCCCTGCCATCCTCTGTAGCGACAGCAGCATCCTGCCGACCAGATACGGATGATGTACTCCAACCCAAACACCACGATCATCACAAACTCCTGTTCAACAAAGACAGAAACAACAGTTGTTTTGGCAGCATGCTGATGTGTGGTTTTCCAGGCACTGAATATGAGTCACTGCTTGTCAATGTAGATCACAAATACATCATCATATATCATTATACACACCATTACTGCAATGTTTTTGTCATTAAAACGGACACCAAGTTGACAAGGTATCTGATAATGACTGTGACAGGTCTACAGTTACTGCACACATAGAGCCAGCTCCCATTTGATAACAACACTGATGCAATTAGCAGAGTGCAGTTAGTGAAATGGTAGTTAGTGCTGCAGGTGAAATCGTGCGGTGAATGCTCAAGTGGATAAAAGAAACGATTATTAGCACTTTCAAAAGTCACAACCCAAGTCTTTTCAAAAGCATGTTTGCTTTTGTGCCCACCACTAGCTGGTTCGGTCCTTCCTGATTGTCTTTCTAAAGGCAACTTTAAACTCTATTTCCTGTCATTACTCACAGAGAGTAAAGTTCCCAGCTTGGGGGCAGACATTTAAACAAATAAACCACTGATCTAGAAGTCTAGGTTTGCTATCTGTTATAGAGGAGGTGTGTTGTTATCCTAATTAAATATTTAAAGATATATAAGAGTTTAATAAAAACAAAAAAACAATGTATAGACTCACACAAAATCAATCCCTCTCAATCATCACTTAGGACTCACTAGAATTGTGTGGCGGTGTGTTTATCTGCCTGTTTACTCTTATTATTTCTTATTGTGTTCAGGATGTTCATGGGCACAGTGCACAGGTGAGGTCAGGACTTCATGAAAAGGTAGTGATTGGGTGCCAGATCATAAGCAGCACGTATCGAAGAGGAAGCTACTAAAATCACAGACAGCGTCGGGAAAAAAAGAAAACATGAATAAAGCAAGGTGGAACAAAGCTCTTTCTGAAACTACAGGTTGAATCTGTGGTTGACTTTCAGTTTTGCTTTAGTGGGCCAGCAGGCAACAATTCTTGCGTGATATACCTTTAAAATCTCTCATTCAAACTGTTTAATCACAATTAAAGTTGAGCTTAAATGAACAATGCCCCTTTAACCCTTTTAGATCACATCCCCGGTCATGTTGGGCACCTTTTTAATGAGATATAATCAGAATATATATTATATATGTGCAAGACATTTTGCAGTGCTTCAGCAACTAACGTTACATGAGGAACACAATGTGCTTCATCTCTCTCCTTTACAGATACTACTATCCTGTCAGTGTTACACCATCAGGGCCTCACTGTGATGATACACCCACTTTTTAAAATTCCTCCCAACATTATACATCGCCTGCCTATCCCATTTCACTCATAATTACTTTATGATACTGAAGCTAGATTCTCTCAAAATGCTGTTTCATCTAGACTTAAGCCCAAATCCCTTTACTGAGGCTTTCTATCCATACGCTCCTCCATTTCTAATTCATTACATGCACTTTAGGGCGTCTGCAACTTGACTATTGAGGACACTGAGGTGAAGTCCACAACTGAACACAAGGTGGGTATTTACAGTCTGGTTTCAGCATTTAAAAACTAATTTTACTACATTTGAGCCATTGCACAGAAAATCCCGCACACTGCTCTTGCTCAGCTTCACAATTTGATAGTAACACTACCATTTCAACACCATTATTTCCAACAACAGAAACTGCCCCACCCATTTCACAGGTGTGCACAGGCATGAGGGAATTCATCAGCTGTGGGTGCATCTTACTATATAATGACGAAAACTCTGTCTGTGTGTCTGTTCCATGTTTTTCTCCTCACTGACTTGGTCAATCCATGTGAAATTTGGCACAGTAGTAGAGGGTCATGGGAGGATGTGAATGAAGCAATATTACATCGATTGGCCAAGGGGGGCGCTATAGCAACCGACTGAAATGGGAAACTTTGAATGGGCATATCTCATGCCCCGTATGTCATAGAGACATGAAACTTTGCACAGAGATGTCTCTCCTCATGAGGAACAAATTTGCCTCAAGAACCCATAACTTCCGGTTATACAGATTTTCCACCATTTTGAATTTTTTGAAAAACACTTAAAATTGATCTCTTCCTAGGAAGTTTGACCGATCTGCATGAAACTCGGTGAACATAATCTAGGGACCAATATCTAAAGTTCCCTCTTGGCAAAAGTTGGAAAACTTACTGAAACTGAGCTTCTATAAGGCAATGAATATTGCGGAGGGCGTGGCTCATCACATAAAGGTGTATAACATCTCAAGGGTTTCACCGATCACCACGCAACTTTGTAGGCATATGACCACACATAATCTGAGGGGACCCCTCCATTATTGACCCCATCAAACAAAATGGGGGCGCAAGAGAGCTAATTTCTTATCTAGGCCTAACCGCCATATCGATTTTTACTAAACTTGGCAGATATGTAGAACAGGACGCCTCAAGGTGACTGGAGAAATTTAACTCTAATTGGCAACTGGGTGGCGCTATAACAACAGAAAAATGCTTAAGAATGGCTAAAATGTGACCGATCACTGTGGCTCCCCCTGTGGCCGAGTGTTTGTTTTTGTTCTAATTTTTGGTATGACTAAGTCATGGTATGGTATGCTGTACATAATCATGGAAACTGTCAGTGTGTCATTCTGTCAGTCAGTCATTCTGTCTGTCCCACGTTTTTCTACTCACTGACGTGGTCAATCTGTGAAACTGCACATAGGCATTGAGGATTGGCATAGGTAGAAGGTGACAAAGCTACCAATGGGTATGGACTAGTTTCTCAATTAACTGACAACAGCCCGTGCGCCATACGTCACATATCCCACAAACTAAAGAACAAGGGAACAAGAAAAACATAGGAAAAACCTAGAAAACTAAAGCTCCTTACACAATAAAGGCTATTTGCAAGATTGTTTGCAAAAAAATGTATGTCTTCATGTTACCACCTCTCTCAGGCAGAGTAACTTTTTTATCCTAGATTCCAGGGCAGAAGAGAAGTGAACTGGATATTAATTCTGCAAACACTATCTCCCAAAGGATTAAAAGGTGAGATACCATGGCATGTCATGCTCTAATGGGTTTGGGGATCTCAAAGGCCAATTTATGATACATGGCATAAGAGTTGAACATTTTGAATGATTTCTGAAAGCTGCAAGGCCGATATGTTCATTCATAAAATCTTTTTTTGTGGTTTGAACACTCTTGAGGAAGGTCCAGGAGGACCGAAATGTTAGTGTTGCTAATAAATTGTGAAGCTGAGCAAGAGCAGTGTGTGGGATTTTCTGTTCAACGACTCAAGTGATATTTTCCAACGCACCTGCATTTGAGACAGTTGGATGTGCAAATACCTTCTTTAAACTACATTTAAACCAAGGCAAAGGCATCAAGTATTTACCCAGCAAAACTTTACTTTACTTCCTGGCACTGTGAAGAAGGCCAAATACATTTCTAAAAATATAATGGAATAGTTAACAGCATAGGTAAAATGGATGGATAGGCAGATCATATCTGTACTGCAATTTCTTGTTACTGATCGGTTCATAAAGTGTATTGGTGAGGCACTAGCTTGCAGTGGGTCAGGGAAAAAGGTGAAAGGTTAGGTAATACAGTACAAGCTGAGGGGTAAAGGTATCATCACTACAGAAAAAAGCTTTAACTGGTTAACTAATTATTGACTGATGGTTGTCCAGTTTCTTACCAGAATGAGGAGACAGTAGGAGGAGAAGTCCTGATGAGCCGGGATGGTTGAGAACACAGAGAGGACGAGGCAGCTGAAGACCAAGATGAACCTAAACACAACAACAGAATAACAAAGGAGGGAATCATGAATACAACATTCAGACAAAACTGTAATCACACAGGATGACATCAATGCTCTGACCTCTGAAACCACCACACTGACCAGCAGATCAAATCTCAAATTCCAAAACATCATTTCCACTGGTCACAAATATGCTGTTGATCATTGAAATGAGCACTGGAATCGTCCGCTGTATTTTCCTCTGTGAAAAACTCTTGAACCCAGTCTGGCACGGAGAGAAGAGCAGAACACGAACAACCTGGCAGCACAATCAGAACTTATTTCCTCTCTGCAGTGAACCATGAGGCGGACTATTATTCAATTTCCTGAGATATCAAGTTAATCATGCTTGTTTGTGTAACATGATTTGCAAGAAACAAGCAGTAAAACTGCGGCTATTGGAAAACAAGCAACATCCGACCATTTCCACACTCTGACTGTCGCTCCCTCCGCCAGGAAACCGTAGCCTTCCATCTTCATAACCATAACATGCTTTTTTTCCATCACATAGATCTTCCAAAAACACATCGTTGTCTGAAATAGGAGCGTGGGGTTTAGAGTTACGGTGGCTCTTGATGCTAAACAGTGAGAGCACATCTGTGTTTTATCATCTCAGATCTCCTCTTAAGCCTGCTGAAGAAAGGGCGGTCGACACGCTGTGTGTCTACTTTCTTTTTATGGAGAGGCTTTAGTGGAGCAGATAGGGCTTATTTCAGTCATGCCCTGCTTCATGTTTGTACAGCTACACATAATCAATTCAAACTGGAGACCTTTGTCTTATCTCTAACCTTTATGCCTCAAAATTCTTTTACTTCAAAAGGGGGAACTTCACTCTCAGGCAATTAGTTTCACAATAGTATGAGCTGGTATGTGTGGCAAAAATTAATAATTATTTTCTACTAAGTGCCTGAAATTAGGGTCGCTAATTTAGACATTGGATTCTTTGCCGAGATGTAACAACTCATTTGGCCGATAGCCGATACCAATGTCAATATATCCACTTTTTCCCCGACATAATTTTAGTGATCATCAAGTCTCTCTTGTAGTGGAATTAATAACATATTATGCATGCATACTCATATCATGATGGCCCCCCAGCAGATGGAGACATGAAATACAATACTTTTCAATGCATGTTCAACATTCAAAATTGTACAAAATAAAAAAATACAGATGACGTGCTGATATTATCGTGCATCCCTACCCAAAATTTCAATTTATTCATCACTTTACTATTTAGTGTCTACTATATAGGCTGTAGGTAATGAGTTAGTAGTGAACACGCTCTGCTTTGTCATCTGAAAATAAGGAAATGTATCAGTTTCATTAAATCTGTATTGAGTTGAGTAGTGACACTCTTTAAAAGGTCTAGTGTGCAGGATTCTATGACATCTAGTGGTGAGGTTGCAGATTGCAACCAACTAAAACTTATCCTGTGTGAAAAGCCAGCCCGCTCTCACTGAAAAAATGACCACATATTGATAGGTCACTGTGCAAGCAGTGTATTACGACCCATACCTATGATTATTGTAAGGCAGCGCCCTCTGATGGCCGTAGTAATTATTACAGAAGCAAGAGAGGAAGTGAGGTGACAAAGTTGGTAAGGTTGCAGATTGCAACCAACTAAAACTTCTCCTGTGTGAGAAGCCAGCCCACTCGCACCGTAAAAACGACCACATACTGGAATGTCAACTGTGCAAGCAGCATGTTACGACCCATACTTATTTTTATTGTAAGGTGGCGCCCTCTAATGGCCATAGATTTTACTACAGGAGCAGAAGAGGAAGAAAGGTTCAACAAATACTGAAGAAGCCAATACAGGATAGGCAGGGTACTTTCACCAAGGAGAGCGGTGTTCACGTCAAGGTTTGATGTCTTTTAGTAACAACGTAGCTTAGTGTGCTAGTATGTATAACATGATATGGTAGTGACATGTGACGTGACATATGTGACATGTCATAAGATTTAGAATTTAGAATTTTTTTCTGGTTTGTTATGGAAATAAGATCATCATGTATTAATCTACAAATTCATGTAAATAAAGTCACAGCCTCTCACAGAAAATGATACATTATCAAATAGTACAGTGCAATACATTAATTTACCATAACGTAGACACTTCTGCAGTCCAAAAAATGTGTAGCATGAAGCTACAGCTTATAACATCTACCCTTTGAACAGCACATCATATTCAATATCAACAGCAAAAAAAACAAAAGTCAGTCATAAAAGTCGTTTTGGAAGTCAGTGGAAATAAACCGAGGTTGAGGTTTTTTTTAGTTTTTTGTTGTTGAGGTTTGAGAGCAGGTTGGGAAAGCATGTTGGAGAACTACAGTGGCCTATGCAAAAATGCATATGGCCCTATCGAGAGCCAATGTTTGGTCCATTCTAGGCTACCGTAGAGCAACATGGTGGACTCTGTGAAAGAAGACCCCTCCATGTGTAGATACAAACGGCACATTCTTAGGTAATGAAAACAGATGATTTCAGGTGATTTTAAACTAATGAAAACAATAAATCCCCCTAATTCCTTTACACTGGACCTTTAATTTGAAATGACAAACTTCTTAGAAAATAATTGGTTGTTTCACTACACATCCAGAAGTAAACAGAGCAACATATCATTCATAGGAGTCCAGTTTCTTACCACCTGATGAGTGTAAGTCGAGAATAATACTTCTCTTTTAGCTCTGTTTTTGGTCTCAACCAACTCCTGAGAGAAATATCTGTCCCTTTAGCTGCTAAATGCTCCATTATGTTCACCAGCTCGTTGTGAACTGTATCACAGAGTTCAAAGGAAGTTTTTCAAGTTTTTCAAAATGGTGGGTGCGCAGTGTTCCAGTGTCTCATTAAACAACACAGCACAGTACAGGACTGTGCTGATCTGACCCCAGTCGGGCCGCCTTTGACATTCACAGAGCCAAAATGGGGGTCAGAATTTTCCACAGCCATGAGAACGATTATGTCATTATTCCTCGACCCATACGTTCTCCTCTTGCTCTGTCGCACAGCTCAGAGAGCTGCCGGGGGATCACAGAGAAGTAAATGCATTAAGTATCAAAAGTTTGAGGTTTGCTCTGTTGACATTTCCAAAGATTTGAATAATGTGATTTTGATTGGAGGAAAACATCTAGTGACAAGCATTGTGGTGCTGTCATCTGAAAAGCAAGCTCCCTGTCACCGGCACACCTACGCCTCTCGCACTTACAAGGTTGTCAGACCGAAAATTACACAGTGACAATCAACTCCCTTCATCCATAGCCAAACTCGTGTTTCCATTTTGAATATATTTACTTTAAAAGGGGGTAGAGAAGTACTGAAAAGCACCCTGACAACGTCATTAAGCTCTCAACCAAGTTCACTAATTAATCTCACAAACTGTTGTTTTCAGCCGGCCCCGTCCCCGTGTGTCATGATGCTCTACGCTTATAGGCGACAGAATTAATCTGGAGTGTCTCGCTCCGCACTTCCAGCAGAGTGATCACTCTTAACCTTCCAAACAGCAGCAGCTGAAAATTAAGCAGGCTTACACACACACACGCATACACACACACAAACGCATCATCACAAGAGCAACATAGAGACATCTGTCCTCACCCGCTCACCCAATCACCTCTTTCAAATGCGTCCTCCATCCCTCAAACAGAACAGAAAGAGACCTCGCGACACTGAGCGAGTGGTAAGTGCTGCTTTGATTTGCATAATTTAATTGATTTGTTTGGGAAAAGGGTTGTAGTTGGAAGACCAGTGACTAATGTCCACACACTCTTCAGTGTATTATATCATCTGTCATGGATTTGGATTTGAATTTGTATAGAGGCGGGGCCAGAGGGGTGTTAAGAGGCAATGAAGTCGCCGGAAAAAATGTTGGCAGTGTACATTTCTGCAAATAAGCAATAAGCTAAAATTATTTAGCAGTTACATTTTAAACACTATGGTTAACATGGTTATGCTTAGGCACAAAAAACACTTGGTTATGGTTAGGACAAGATCATTCTTTTGGCTTAATCTACCAGGTTTTGGGGGCACAATCCTGGCAAGAAAAGTGGCAATGTCTTGCTGCTTTTCCTATCAATATCTTGGCAGGAAAAGAAGCAAAAAAAAAAAAAAACTTTTCGTGGAAAGGGTTGCTACAAAACTACCATGTTTAGCCTCTGGAAAAACACAGACAGATCGCTGCAAGACACCTACGTTTGGAGCCTAAAAGCCGATGGAAACACAGCAATGATCCACTAAATCACAACTGGTTTCTGCAGCTTTGCAGGTGCCTGACTCGCCATCCATCATCCCCTCATAACAAAGTCAGCGTACATACTACGTCACTTTAGAAACCCTGATATCATATGTATGAAATGTACAAATGTAAAGTATTCGTTGTTTATAATAACATATAATGCCAACATTGCTCTCTAGCAACTGGCTGAGAGGTGGCACAGAGTTACAAATGGCAGCTATTTATTATTATATCCTATTTGAATATGTAATTTTTTTTATTTAGCATTCATTTCCTAATTGTGCCCCGCAGGTGCTAAACCTGCCCCCGTCTGTGTAAGGTATGGATTGTGTATCAGGTGAAGGACTTCTCTATTTATTCCTACAAATGATATATAGAGAAAAGCAGTCTAGAGCCACACTGACAGAGTGACTGTAACCTTCCCTCTGACAGTCATTAAAAAGACAGTTGTGTGGACTCCTGGTTGTGTGTTAATTGGGTCACAGAGCACCAACAGACTAACGATGCTGTAATGATCTGATCTGATCTGATCTGATTGGGTTTCTCACGTCAGGTGGTTACAGAAGAAGCGCTCACTCATCCTCTGATGCTGTCCATGGTCCTGAAAACAAATTCTCTGCTGGTTGTTGATTCATCATTAGGTTTTGCTTTCACAGAACTCCATTGTGGTTTTTAATTAAGGTTGATATCAAAGCAGATATTTAATTGTCTGTGTCTTTGTAGCTAATAAGTATCTTTTCCTCCTGCCCTGCCAT